CTTGAGGCATATAGGTTAAATTGCATAGATTTTTGAAACTATTTAAAATGAGAAGAATGGATAGAGATGAAAAGAAAACACATGTTGCAAGCTGACAAATCCCTTCTTACACGAAGGAGTTCATTAGTAAAATACACGTTTTTTCCTTAGGTAACCAGAGGTGGCAACATTCAACTTCTCAGTCTGTTTCTTACTGTTTTCTATTTTCTCCGGCTATTTGTATCTGAGCTGTTTTTTTTCTGTTATTGCAGTATCCAGCAAGGAGAAGCCAGGAAAAGGAAAGAGGATCAAACTGTCAGAGCCATTCAGCCCACTGGCAGGTGGAACCAGAAGTTTAAAGCAGAGGCTAAATTACGTTTTCCCAGTGTCTATGGACATTTTCTGTACAATAATTTTCTTCACTTTTGTAAGGAATCATGAAGCAACCACAAGAAAATAAAATCAAGGCTAATCAAGCAGATTTTAAAAAGAAAAATAATGATTTATCTTGTGGGTAGACGTCCTCTGTTACTGAAGTAATTGTTGGCAAGTATGAGTAAAGCTGAAGGGAGTGAGAAAACCTCAATCCTTAGAAAAGGCAGCAGAAAATAATGCTTAGCACATAGACTCTAGGGCCAGACAGCTTGTGTTGGAATCTCGCCACTGCAACAGGATGCTCTTTGACATTGGAAAAATTACTTCACTGCTTTGCTGGGAGTATTAAAGATGAGGAAGCTTCTAAGTGCTTAGTATAGCTCCTGGCTTATAGTTGCAGACAATTAAAATAAGATGTTGATTCTATTATTATTAATATTGATCCCTTAGCCATCTGTGTCTTGGGATTCCCAAGTATAAGTTTGTTCTTTAAATTTCAAGTGATCATTTTTTCTCAATAGAAGAGCTAGTAAATTATAAAGTGTGGATGAAGATATTTTTTTGAATGTATCTATTCCCCCATATTCTTTTGACATTTATATTCCCTGTCCATTATTTCAAGTGCCTACTAGCTTCTTGCTCACTTATAAAATCCCAAATCTTTTATGAGTTAACAGAAAAAACAAGAATGGTAATTTTCCTCTTAGAGAATTGGAACAAAAATAACAACCATTAACTGATTACTTTCTTTTTCATTTCAAGCACTATGCAATTTACATACTATCTGATTTAATGTCATTTGCCCTACACCAAAGATCATAACCTCCTGCCTATTTCCCAAGCTCTTAAAATTTTGCTTTCTTACATATTAAGGGATGAGTTAATCTCTATTATTCATTTTAACAAATATTTATTGAATACAATCATCCCTTGGTATCCCTCAGTTGGTTCCAGAACTCCCTGTGGATACAAAAATCCACAGATGCTCAAGTCTCTTATATAAAATGCTGTAGTATTTGCATATAATCTATGCACATCTCCTTGTATGTTTTGAATTATCTCTAGATTACTTATAATACCTAATACAATAAAAATGCTATGTAAATAGTTGTTATACCATGTTGTTTAGAAAATAATGACAAGAAAAAAGTCTATACATGTTCAGCACAGACACAACCATCCTTTTTTTTTTTTTTAATATGTTCAATCTATGGTTGGTTGAATTCATGGATGTGGAACCCATGGATATGGCGGGCCAGCTGTAGATAACTTTACTAACTGATGTTGCTTCTGTTTATGGCTAGGTAATATGAGATCCATCTTTGCATAGTTAAATGAATAATCCCTTAATTCAATTTAATGTAATAAACAAATGTTAAGTTTTAGGGTTGAAAAGATATTTTTTATATCTTTATTCTTTTAAAGGTGGCTTTATAATTTATGTAAATATAATAGGCTTTTTTTTTAATGATACACAATGAATGGTATGTGGAAAGGGTCAGCAAACCTTTTCTGTAAAAGGTCAGCTATAAAAATGTTAAGCTTTGTGGGTTACCTATAGACTCTATATATTATTATTTGTTTAACTTTCTGTTGATATTAGCCATGTTTTATTTGTTTATATGTTTTTAACAAATCTTTAAAAATGTAAAGACCATTCTGAATTTACCAACCGCACAAAAACAGGTCATTGTGGGTTACCTATAGACTCTATATATTATTATTTGTTTAACTTTCTGTTGATATTTGCCATATTTTATTTGTTTATATGTTTTTAACAAATCTTTAAAAATGTAAAGACCATTCTGAATTTACCAACCGCACAAAAACAGGTCATTTTGCTCATGGACTGTAGTTTGTCACCCTATGCTACAGTATACCTGTTCTTTGTTTCTTTTTT